CATGCCTAACACGTGTATGTGCCAAAATCTGGAAAAGAGAGATGGAGAAGGAATTGCAGTATCGTCACCCCTCCCCCCACCCCGGGAGGAAAAGTGTTTCTTGCTTTCTCTCTTTCTCTCCTCAGAAAGTACTTACTTCCTCTAGCAAATTAAAAATAAGTAAATAAAATGAAACAAAAATTCCCAAAGTAATGTAAAACTTGTAACACAAAGAAACCCCAAAAGATAAAAGCTTCATATTTCTTGCTCCTTACTCTCCTCCCATGACTGAGGTGGTAACAGCCCATACAGATACCATACTTTTACCAAATGAAAGCTTCTGTTCTTAATTGCTCCAGAATCCTCTTTTTTTTTTTTTTCTTTGTATTGCCAGAGGGTACACATGCTCACCAGAGAGAAACAAAGAGAGGAGAGAGAAGGAGAGAGCCTGCCCCAATGGTGTATGATCATGGCGCAGTCCCGTCTCCACTTTCATCGTCTCAGGGTTCTGGGCATGCGTATACATGTGCCCAGCATGCTTCTTAAGCCACCAAGAGAGAAATCTGAACCAGTCGTCCATGTAGGATCCAGTTCCCTGAACCATTGGGTCAGCCTAGCTCCATTATCTACTTTTCCACAAACAATGAAGACTCCAAAACTTATCCAAGATCTGACTCGCAAAGATAAAGGAAGATCAACAAAGGGGAAGGCTAGGGTAGTTCAAGATATCTGGCCCCTCAGTGCTAATCTTGTTTACAGAATCACAAGTGGATTCCTGGCTCTGGCTGCTTTCTGGACCTTCTTAGAAGTTCAGAGGATTTCTCTGGATCAATTTTCACTGTTGTGAGAGAAATAAGAAAAATGATACAAAAAGTGAGCAGAATAGAAAAAGAGATGAACGGTGAGTGGGCAAAAAGCAAGCACCCTGGCTGCCCACAGACTGAGTATGCAGAAGTTCCCACCGAACGGAGAGGCAACCTGGAACTCAGATACAGAGAGCCAAGTGATACTTACCATGGATTTCCCCCTCAGTCTGAGGCTTGTTAGTGAGAAGTCAGTTATGAATCTACCTGGTTTTGCCTTTCCACGTGTGACTAAAATGACTTTCCAAGTTATTGCTTTAATTTGTAAATGTTTTCTAGGTGTATCAACCAAATTATCTACCTGTTATTTGTTAAAGTAGAATGCGTTCTACTCAGCTATTCTTTGTATGAACAGGGGATGTCTTATTGATTGACGGATGAAGCATTTATTTTCAGTGAGAAAAATTCTGTGCCTACAAAATCCCTTTGTAATTTGCATCGGTTATTGCTACTCTCTGTTGAAGGAGCCACTAGACTACAGTGAAATTATACCTTGAAGCCCAGTGCAAACGAATATGCACAAAAATCAGTTCAATATCCACCGCCAAGAAAAAGGTCTAAATGTTTCAAAATTATAGAGCTGAAAGCATTTCTTCTAAAATATTCATCTTAGGAGGAGTCTGTGGAAGGGGATTTTTGTTCTCGTTGATTGAGTCAGTATCACTAATAATAATGCTTTGGCCCTTTGAAATCCCCCTGAAGAGCATTTTCAATTTACTCATTTTGTTTGTTATTCAGCAGTTTTTGCATTCTATTTCTTAGACTTTTTTTCTCATCTTTCACAGTTGTAAAATCAAATTGAAGTAATCCTAAAGACTTACCTTTTCATTTAACACCCCCACCTCCTGCCCAGTGCCGAGCTCCAACTCCCATTTCTCAAACTCAAATCCCTAAAAGAAAATGATGAGAGAGAAAAACAAATAACGTGGCTCTGGAACGTCTCTGTACTACTAAGCGCACACTATAGTCATGACAAATAAAGAAAAAGTGATTCCAAGGGCTCGAGGCTGCTCCCAATAGCCGTTTGCCTTGAAACTTGGGCTATTTACATTGATCCATTGGGACCTGTTAAAAATGAGCTTCTCTCTTCTTCTTCTTCTTCTTCTTTTTTTTTTTTTTAATAATGTAATTCTTAGTATTGGACTTTTTATAAGTTTGGACCTAGACACTCACATACGTACCCAGCCTATTCAGGGAAGCTCCGGGCCAGGAACCAAGGACCTTCCCATGGCAGTGTAGTTGCATTATTGCTGTGCCACTGTCTGGCCCTAGCACTGGACTTTTTCCAGAAGTCAGGGGGAGTAGAGCATTCTTGAGAAAAGTTAGTTTCTTCTATATAAATTATAGTCTTGGCAAATGACCATGAAAATGAGTTTTTAGGGTCCAGTCCAACAGTCTATACATACATACGTTCGTGAATAGCACCTTCTTCACGGGAAGGCCATGGTTACAAGCAGAAAGTCTTGAGTTTATTCCTAAAGTGCCTTGAGAGAAAATGATTATTGAAAAAAATAGTCTAAATATTATTCTTTTACTTATGAAACTTGGCCAGAATATTTCCTTGTTTATTCAAATGCTTGTTCTTATTTGTATGTGCTGCAAACATAGCTATTCTTTGTTTTTCTGTTTTTCTTTGTCCATTCTCGCGGGACATTTCTTCCACAGTTGTAATTAAGGAATATCTGAATCAGACCCAGTCTTAGAAACTGGACTCTCAACATGTCCTACTTGATTAAAGTGCCCCCCCTCCCCTTGGGTAAAGTATGTTTCCCTCTGCCTCTAGATTTTCTTTAATAATCAGAGTTTTGTGGGCTGCTCACCACATATGTGGTTTGCTTAAATAGGTTATTGTATATATTCTTCTAGCAATCTTCCCAGGTAGGTAATGTTATTACTCCTATTTTACAAATGAGAAAATCGAGGCTTAGAGGGGTTAAGTAGCTTGCATTTTCGTAGTCCCATGGCAGAGTTTGGGTTCTAGGCTGAATTCCTTAGAATATCCAGGTTGTCCTTAACCTACCTACTGGTCTGCCTCCTTTCCTTGAAAAGGACATAATTTGCTGGAAGCTTTGGAAATGACTTTGACTAACTTGACTAACTTGACCTTTCAGCACTCAGCCCCTTAGGAAGCTGGCCACCCAGAAGCAGGCTGAAGTGCCTTGTTCTGAAGTGCTAGACTTTCTCTTCTGTAGATACTTGGGGTTCGCTTTTGTCACAAAGTCCCTGATGGCACAGAAACAACCTATAGAAACCATGCATAGGGTGTCTTACAGCTCAAGACTGGATCCTGAGGTCAGGTTCCGTTCCTTCCCAGGGTATGGACAAAAGCCTAAGAAAATGGTGTCAAAAAACAGTTCCCCAGAGTTTTGGTTTAGTTTAAGTGAAAACAGGAAGTCAGGCTCCCCACCTCTCTCTCACCTCCTAAAATCCAGCTGTATTTTCTCTTTCTGGTTGAGAAAACTGCCTTTCAATTTTGTGAAATAACAGAACCCTAAATTGAACAGTTGTTTAGGTCGTTTTATCCTTCGTGTTTTTCTATACGTTCCACAAAAAAAATGTTGCTTTTAAAAACGCTGACATTTAAAAAAATTGTATTATAGGTTTCCTCACTTATTACATCTTGCAAAAATTGTAATGCAGATGAAAGAAAACAATTCTGTAAATGAAGTGGTGTATGTTCAAAACGCCACATAAACACTTGAAAAAAAAAAGCTTTGCAGAAATACAAATAGACTTTTTATTATGATTTTCTTCACTGCCATTTAGACGTGAGATGTTGGACTCAGGTGGGTGGGCATCAGGTTTTTTGACAACTTGTATTGGAGTGTGCTAGAGAAAGTATTCCTTACCATAAGTATGTGTGTAAGAAAGATGTGCACCTGTATTAGTGTGAAGCATGTATACATTTCAACGCAACCCTGGCCTCCAAAGACCTTTGAGTCTCTTTATTAGTTTTTGCCTTCCAGGAGCTCCCGCCTCCAGAATCATAGAAATTAACATGCGCGATATTTAGAAATGCCCTATTCTAAATGTGATCACCACCATTCTGACAATGACCCAACCCCTAGCCGAGACCAGAACCTTAACATTGACTTCTAAACCTTCTCAGTGAAGGCCTACAAAGACCGCATGACAAGGCGCCCAGGGACACAAGTTTTCATAACGCGTTTTATTATTCATAAAAAAATAAATTTATTTACATATGTTAATTAATGTGGTAGTGCAGCCTCAAGGCAGCGGCCAGATCCCCCTGAGGAGGGTCACTTGTTACCGGACAGAAAAGCCCCAGCTGTCCAACTGTCACCCTCCTGCGTTTGCTGGAAAGAGCCTGGGTGGAGGGACGCTGCGCTGGATCTGGGGCGACCAGAGCTTGAGCTGTGGGGGGCCTATTGAGCAAGTTCAGAGTCGGAGCTTGGGGGCGGGTAAACTACGGGGCTGGAGAGCGAAAGTGGGGATTGGGGAGGAGAGGGAGGCCCAAAGAGGACTCGGGTCGGGGGATGGGGCGTCGGGGACTGGGAAGGTTTGAACCTAGAAGAGGAAGGGGTGAACGAAGCCTGGTAAGGAAGAGTGCGGAGCCCTTGAGAGCCACTCCGGAGCTTGGGGGTAAGGGGCAAGGGGCCAGATAGCCTGCCGGGAGGGAGAAAGGCCGGGAACACGCGGAGCAAAACCGATCCCAGGACTCCTACGTGTCTCCCCACAGTCCACACTCGCCCCAGTGCGCTGCGGACACCGTCCCGCCGGCTGGGAGGGCGCGATCGGGTGGGATACAAACTTGACGCAGATTCGCCACTCTTCTCTCTTTGCAGCTTAAGGACAGGCCCCGACGCAGTTCTGTCTTTAAAGCCAACAGAGAGCACGATCGAACCACTGTCTAACCCGAAAAGGCCTGGGCTGTGCGCAATCCTGCCACCGCTACCTACGGCAAACGGCCAACGTGGCTCGGTTAGGAAACTAACCCCTATGCGGTTTGGCACTGCGCTCTCACGGCGGCCGGGGCTTGGTCTACCCAGCGCGCAGCCCCAGCTCGCGGTCGGATCTGGGTTCGCGCTCTTCACAGGAAAGGAGGCTCTCTCCGGACCTGCCAAACGCGGTCGCCGAGATCCACGGCATCTGTAGCCATCGGTGCTCTGCAACGACAGCAACCCGGCCACCTGTCCTGTTCACAGTTCCAGGGAAGGGTGCAGGGGCAAGGAGAATCCGACAGAACCGTGTTCCCATTCTCTGGGGTTCCCGCGCCCTCTGTCTTCTCTCAGCGGCCCCCTCACACACGCATTAACGAATAATCCCATCAAATGAGTTCGGATCTCATTTAAGCGGTGGTTCCACAAAGTCTATTGGCTGCGGACACTTCTTTGGTGTCGGAGTCGGGCCGTCCTGAGACCACGAAAGGCCATGTCTGTAAAATCAAAAACACCACACCAAAGAGCGCCAGATAATGAGAGAAAAAACCATCGCAAACGGAAACCGCTTTCCCAAGTGAACCTCAGATATCCCTAATACGGGGTGGCTTAGAGTCTATCATCCGTCTGGGAATTTTTGTAACTAGGATTTTAGTATTATTCAGAGTTGATTACGCAAGACGTGCGGTATCAGTTCATGCTTCCTCCTGGACTCTTCCTGCATGATGATTCATTGAAACTTGCTTGAGTTTGGGATTTGTCATTTAATCCCCCCCCCCACACACACACACACAGACACACAAAATCAGTCATCCTCTCCAAGTACAAAGCGGGGCTTCGATAATAGCTTGGATATGTTCTTTCCCAAGACAAGAGAGCTGGCAGGTCAAAGAGGGACTTTCCGGATAAATCCCGTCTGGGGAAATTTATTATATGAGTTCTCCTGCAGCAATTAGAATCGCCAGAGGCTCTCTTAGGAGCTCGGCCTTCCCTCCTTCTTTAAAGAAAGTAGGGCTTGCAAAGTCCAACCTGCCAAACTCTTAACTGGGAACAGTTTAGCGACAGAGGTTTGCTGTCCAACCTGCAACCAGACAGGGGACTCACTTGGAACCAGGACTTAGCCCGGAAGTAGGATATTAGCCAATGGATGTTACCGGCCGAAGCACTACCTACAATGATCAGAACGATGCAGGGCGCAAGGGTGGATGACTCTTCTCTGGGATAGTGACTGTCCCCACCAACCCCCTGGAGACTAAACTAAACTGGCCTAAACTGGCCTCCTCCACACACCCGTCCCAGAACCCTCCCTTTCCAGGTCTTCCCAGGGTGCTGCTGACCCTGCCTGGCGACCCGGAAAGCCCCAGCATCTCCCTGGCGCTCGCCGCGGGCCTCGCCAAAGGGCCCTTACCAGGTTCACCGGGTGCACATAGCCGTTCTCGTAGCGGTCCTCCTGCAGCAGCTGCCGCAGGGGCGCGGTGTA